AGCGGCAGCGGCAGCAGGTTAGTGTTGGGTTAGGGTTAGGGTTAGGGTTGGGGTTATATCGGTTTAGTTGGTTCGATTGAACCAACTAACAACCGAACCAGGACCGAACCCCTTGGTTTACCCAGGCGCTCGCCCGAAGCGCCCAGCGCCTGGGCTCGGGCGAGCGCCCAGGCGGCGCCTGTTTGAAGCGCGCCGCCTGAGACATTAGCGAGGCGCTCGGGCCTAGCCTCGCCTCGCCCGAGCGCCTAGGCGAGCGCCCGAGCGCCTTTTGCAATCACTGAATACAAGATACATGTAATTTTCAAAAACAACTATCACAATATGAATTTTCAAAAATAAAAAATAAAAAAATTAGAAGAATCCTTTAATGTCTTCATATTTAAAATAATAATAATCACGAGCAGCAAATAGTGATTGTGTGTCGTACACTTCAACATCTAGAGGAATTTGTAGCTGCCAGAATCTTCAGTAACCATAATTATCTAAACACACAAGAAAATGACCATGATTTTGAAACCTATGGTGAAAGATGAATAATACAACAAATAAAAACCAACACTTGTACTGAATTACAAACATCTCATGGTAACAAAGGTAAAAAAAAAGAAAATGATAGATCTTACCTACTGGCTACCATTCGAAGCTGCCTGAAGGGCCAAATATATACTCCTTCTAATCTCAGTTTGGAAAATACATGATCATGCATGCTGTCAAACACGTCATGAAAAGTGACTGCTCCCTGCCATGACAAAATAAGATTTGAGGTGTTGATCCAAGATTATGAAGCGTACAATAGATCCTTTAATCCTTGATTGGGTTGACAGTGCAACAGGATTGTGAAACTAATAAGACTAGTTTCCATGTCGAAAGCTGTTCAAATTCTTGTGATAAAGATAAACATGGGTGTCCAAGTTCTTGCAAAGATAGTTCCCATTTTAAAGGAACAGGCTTACACCTCTTTCAAGCACAAAAATAAAATCAAAGTTGAGGAATCTCAATAAGTGATCATTGTGAAGGATAAAATGGTAACACCAAAAGATATCTTGCTTGAAGAGCTAATGCAAGTGATGGTTGCAGACAAATTTGCAAATCGAGAAACAATTTAAAGCCAAGGTTAAGATGAAAGCCAAAGCATGTGCAACCTGCCATCCAAAAGCCATCTCAACTATTTAAGGATTCTACCAAATCAATAAAAAAAAAATTTCAGGTTCCATGCCTGCCAAAATCACAACAATCAACAACAAGCATGTTTCTTTTTTCAGGTTTTAATTTTGTCCTACAAGAATGCCAGTGATGCATCATTGCAAGCTGAGCATGGTTTCATGCTGATTGGCACTATCTGTTTGCCAAGATAACAAACTATTTGAATGCCACCAGCAAGACATGAAATCAGATCCCAAAAAATATGATGTTTTTTGAAGCAAAAAAAGCTTTTATATATATATATATAGTCAAATATTACTATAAAGAAGCAAAAGTTCAGAAAGATTATTTCACTATATATCATAAAATATCAGATACTTAGTAACTAAATTCTTATATACGTTCAAAATAAAGGAAGAAAATATGAATGAAAACCTCTTACACAATCAGAAGGGATATAACATACTATGATGATAAATAATAAGCAATATCATACTAAAATGATGATAATACTAATGAGCAAACAGAGTTAACATCATTTTTACCTGAACATAGTGTACACCACTTATCTTTGTCGAAGTACTCACCAACTCCAAAACTGATTCACCATTAGAATTCCCAAAATCAAAAAGCCTAGAGGATCCATTTGTGGTCTCTACAAAGTTCCATCTTCCTGTGTATCACTATAAGAGTAATCAAGATTCATAAAGAGATATGGAAAGTAAAGTTAATATGACTAGCTACCTCATTTTGTTGGGTATAGCACATTCTTTCAACATTTCACTTGCAAATCATCAAATTTACCGAAGTTCGTAACCAAAAAAATCAATTATGTGCATTTTTTTATGTTCAGATTAAGTCCTAGAAAACAAGAAGAGGATACAAACCTTTATATGTTCCTGTTATGTTCCATGCAGAATAAGGACTCAAGTCACTTTCGTAGCTTCTAAGAAAAAGTCGCTGTATGAATGAAAGTAAATTGGACATAAACAAACCAAATAGCAAATGCACATGAGTTTCTATCATAAAATAGAATACAAAAATTAATATTCTAATTTCCTTCAGATATTACATCAGTAAGAAAATTTAATAAAACTACACAAAGCGAAAGAGCACATCGTTCATATCATGACATAGGGTCGTGCTACAGTTAAAGAAGTATAGCATTTTCAAAAGCATCAATCAGCATATCATACAAAAGATGAAGGCATGTTCTTAATTAAGTGACCTATAATGCACGCAGTAGTGAAGACAAAACCTCTCAACATTTTCTAAATGGGTATCATAAGAAATTCAAAAATCAGGAAATTGCATTAACAACTCCACAGAGAAAACATCAAATGTTTGCCTTTAAAATTACATTAACCATTAGATGCAAGGTGTAACCATTCCATGATCCACTCAGTACAAGAATTAGCATCACTAGCATCATAAAATGGCTAAGGCTTCTTCCAGTGAACCCCACCCTATAATAACAGAAATGTCTAGTATCTACTTCTTGCAACGTTCGTTGAGGTAGGTTCTCCGAGTTACTACGAGTCCCAAATTCTCAGCCTAAAACCTAATGATTCAAAATGTAACCAATCGTCCTGTGATCCAGAAAAGGATAGTTTAAGGCTCTTTATACTCGAGAATCCCAAGGAAACCATCATTGCAATCAAGAACTCGAAAATCATCAAATTGGGAAGCAAGAAAGGGCAAGAAGCAGACCTCATCACCCCAAGAACCCCCACCAGCTGCAGAGTCCCTCTCCCTGAGGGGCCTTAGAGCCACCAAAGGTGGAACCAGACCAAAAAGCACCACCACCACAGCCGCCGCCGCCGCCGTACTCCCAAGAAACCACTTGTCTCTCCGACTCCCACCCATTGCCTCAGAACGCAACCCTGAAGGCAAGACGGAACGACCCAAAGCCCAAAGCTTGCAAGTTACGCCCGAACCTCGCGATTAAAATCGGCAAGATAGGGGCGGATTGCTTCGGACGGAGTCAACCATCACCAACCGCGAGGAGTAGGAGGGGGGAGAAAGGAGAAAGGGAGGCCGCAACGAACTGATGCGGAAACCCCACCAACGACTCCGCCCATCGACGATGCACCGTCGAGCCAGATACCGCCAGCGATCCTAGTTTAATTCGAGAAAGCGACGGAAAGAGAGATTAAAGAAGCGGAAGGAGGAGGAGGAGAAGAAGCGTGGAGAAAATTCTCGCTTCGCGTCAGCAGGGATTCGCCGTCGGAGAGGGCCCCTCGTCGTTTTGGGAATGGGGGGATTCGGATCAAATGCGAAGAAGTACAGTAACGAAGAAAACAACGAAAAGGGTTCATATCGGCCGTTGACGTTAGGATATGATCCATCTCGGGGACACGCGGTCTGATGTTATCGGGTGCTGAAAGTTGCAATGCGATGGACCAAACACACGAATCAAACAGGAGGTGGGTAAGTTGGGAACAACAGTGTTTGGGGTTGTGAGTTAGGGAGGGGATGTTAGGAGCAGCCGGTAAAGTTGCGCCATATTACCGAAGAGCCCTCAGCCCTAAAGTAAGATTTCCATGTACCAAACAAAATCCCCAACTTGGAATCATCAAAAAACGTTTTGTGAGTAAAGTTTTCAGGGGTGGGTGGTGTTTGTGGCTGACAAAGCAAACCACATCCAGCCGATCTAATCCTCCCTAGGAATCTGTTTTGGGTGATTCCCATCCGTCTAATTAGTGTTGGCATCTTTGACGGAAGAACATTAGAAATTTATTTTGGAGGGTGATTCGGCCAAACCCCAACAACGACTCGGCCTTTCTTAATGACGGAGTTGGTGGTGGAGAGAGGAGATTTTGATTCCGGAGTGGTTGGTGCATCATGCGTGCTTTTGGGAGCTGGCTGGCTGCTGCTCCGTCGAGGCACTAATGATGATGAACTCCATTGCAACATCAATGACTAGGAAAAGCTATGTATGTGTTTTTTGTCTCCGTGTTGGTTTAATCGAAGAATAGTTGATGTTGAGTATCTATCTATCTTAATGCGTACGAATGAGATGTGTAAGGCTACAGAGAAGAAAGGATATCGATAATAAGAGGAGGAAGGAAAAGAAAAAACAAAGACGAAAGCAAAGCGACAGTAGAAAAAGAAAAAAAAAGGAAGCGTGAGAGAGAGAGAGAGAGAGAGAGAGAGAGATGAGAGCGTCTGACAGCCACGATAGAGAGAGATAGAGAGAGGAGGAATAAAGATTGACAACTGTGGGATTGGAGTCTTATCGCACAGGAAACAATGGCTCACAACAGGTTGGGTCACTGAAAGCTAACACATCAAAACAAAAGAACAGCAAGCACATCGATTGAATGGTAGTAGGTACATTCTTCATGTTCGTAGCACATCCCAACTTATCCGAGGACAGGAGACGTCACCCTCTCAAACGCCATAATACTGTATGAGTTACACATCTCTAAATAATATTCTTCAAGAAACTAATTTATGCTTTGGCCTCTCTCTCTAATTTAATTTAGACAGTCACCATTCTACCCGTTCTATTTGGCCTAAACAATAGATGGGAATGATGTTGTTTTACTTAGAATCAAATGTAGGTTTGTCAGTTGACTGGTGGAGTTTTGAACACTTGAATTATTACTAATTAAAGTCCATAAGTGCACCGTCAACAGACTAAGAAATAAATGAAAATATGATCATGCCAAAGAACCTGAAGAAATCTAATGATGTCGAATTAGACAAGAACCTAACCAGCTTATAAAAAGGAATCCTGATCCTTTTTGTGCACAATAAGGGAGGGTGGGCAAATGTTGTGATCATCAAAGATTAAAGAAAAATCGGAATACTAGCACAAAGAAAATGATAAGAATACAATACCAAAGGGGGAATTAAGAACCTAAACCAACAAATAAAACATATTTTATTTATGTACAGGCAGGAGCAGAAGCATCTTTATTTAATTACAGCTCATAACCATACAGTATATGGTTTATCAAACATCTTCTCTTGTCCATCACGCTTTTGCTGTTTTCTTCTAGTTCCCTAGGATTCTCAGTTTCTAGGAGGGCAATACAAAGAATAGGTACAAGACACGGATCTAAATTCTCTATTTGTCTTTGGGTAGCCTCATAGGTCCTATCATCTGCTTCTTTTTCTTCTTGTAATTCTGTAGCACTTCAATCCTCTGTGATGGTGATGCCGAGAGTAACCACTTGCTAAATTCTAGCTCTGCCATGCCCATGTTGTGGGCAATGCTTCTGAATTCATTCCTCTTCCACTGTTCAGAAGAAAGTCTACCCACATTATAGATTCTTTCCAAGCTATTGCCTCGTGTCTTTGATAAAGTCTTCCCGGTAAAGTTTTCATGTGTACCTGCTTCTTTCTGTCCTAAATTTCCAGGCCCCATGTTGACAACATTCTCATTACGGTGAGCATATACGATACCTGAAAAGAGGGGAGTGAAGTTCACTCGACATTCAATCCTAACACTAGTCATACACTGAAGTTGAATTTGATAAAGAAACAGTGAATGCCAATAGGTCCCAACAAGCTTTTGCATAAGAACAGAAGTGATCGATAGTGTGGAATAGACAGTACGATAACTTGTGACTAGAATATGCAAGTTTTCAAGATTCAATTCTAACTGTACTTCAAAATATTTTCACAATAAATCAACTTCAACAACCATGAAACTATAAATCATTTAGATGACACAATGGCTTGCTTTCCTAAAGAAAGCCAGAGAAATCTACAATGCATGATGATAGTAATATGTACTCACATTTTTTCTTCCTAAATTAGTCTAGTTCATTGCAAGGGAAACCGAATAGACAAGAAAATGACTCTCATTTTTAGTCCTACAAAACACAAGACATACACTGAGTTCTCATACATAAAAGCAAATGGACATGAAGCCCTTAGGGGTCTTGGAAAAAGTTGTATATGATCAACCTTGAGCACAAATATGACAGGCTAGAGGGGTAGCTTGTGCACTGAGCAAATGCACAAAAGTAACAAGTCTAGAGAAGTATGGGATTTAGGATTCTATGTTTCCTCTTGAACTCCTAAGGGACTCGCCACGAATGTCAACTGCCAAGTCTTAAGGTGCTCATGTCCCTCAGACAGGTAACTGACTCGAGAACCTCATGTAACCTCAAAAGACACATAATGGCAAGCCTAATATTATCTTACTATATCTGCATAGAGAACTGTTGGACTTTCATAATGTAAATAACAACAGATGTGCCTCAGAAACAAGGCCAATATATATAAAGAAGAAATTATTTACAAGGTGCATGTGCATAAAACACGGCACAATAGCATGTGCATAATTAGGTAGTGAAGAGTTCAATGGAAGAAATTGAAAATATGCTATAAGTTTTCTTTTTCTTTTCAGGCTGCATGATCAGGAATAATTGGTAATTGTATATAACCTTACCTAGCTCCTGAAGCTTCTTTTCATCTTCAAAAATTGCTGCCTCATTAGATTTACCATGAAATGATATTTCACTTGCTTCCATAGGAGTAATATAATTTTCACTTTCTGGATTAAGTGGATTCATCTGAGTAGCTAAATACTTTCCTTTCTTCTCGTGCATTTCAATTATCTCACTTGTGAAAAGCTTGTCAGATAGGTCACGGAAAAGGTTGCAGATTCCAAATAGCTCACCCTGAAATTCCTTGCAATCCTGTAAGATGGAGGACATATGGCGATAAACCAAATTTTGATCAAATATTAATACTGAATCTGGAAAGAAAAAAAGTGAGATCATCTCAAAATCAATACCTGGACACCTTGGAAATAACGTTTTTCCATTTTTCCAGAAACAGCAATATTCGAAAGCTGCTGTTTATAAATTTGCCGAGAATAAACAAGTTCCTCAAGAGAACCAGCAGCAAGAAGACGAAAAACTATAACATGTCGTTTCTGCCCATAACGAAATGATCTGTCCTGGGCCTGCAAGTCTTGTGCAGGATTCCAGTTTGGATCAAAAATTACAACCCGATTAGCACTGACCAGATTCAGACCCAAACCGCCAGCACGAGTGGATATCAGGAATACCTATGTGAGGAAGGAAATATAACTATAAGTTGAAAGTGCACGTTTACTTGAACTATTTTATTTAAGAATTACCTGTTTACTTGGACTTTTGTTGAAGTCATCAACAAGTGATTGACGTATGCTCATTGGAGTTGAACCATCAAGCCTGGAAAAGCAGTAGCCTTTCCTTATAAGAAACTTCTCCAGTATGTCCAGCATCCTGCTTTCAGTATAAACATCAGGTGCAGAGTATCCCAGAATCACAACAGAAAATCCAGAATGCTGATGATATGGAATGCAAGCAAAGAACAAAGTTTACAAACATAAAATATGAAAATTACAAATATAAAACTGTGAATGATTTTATTCAGTATCGATGTAGACCAGTTGTTGAATTAACTAGAGAGCCTGAGATTGTGACAAATGTATGCAGCCACTCAACTATATTGAAAGCTAAAATGCCTGAGCAGGTTAGTCTTTAAAGTGTTCTGTTTTTCCCACCTTAATCACAACCCCTTTAACTCTCCAAAAGTTAAGTATGATAACACCAGATAGTTCTGATCTTGGCAACAGTGAATTTGTTATGGGGTGAAGAACTTGGAGTATTAGATAAATGTAACAGTGAGTCAAAAAATAGTCAACCATCCTTTAGTTCCCTTGATGGTTTTAAACAATGGATTTGGATAAGAGTTGTCTGAACCATGAGACTCCTGCCGATGAGGATTACCGAAAATTAATATATGCAATTTTACTCCTATGACAAGAGAGGCTAGCTATTTCCATAACTAGAATCCTTGTTATGTAGGTCATAAAGGACAGTATTGCCATTTAGTTTCAACTTTTTTTTCCAGTTTGCAAATTGACCAAATAATCAAATTGACATGTCACCACCATATATTACTGTACCAATTGCCAAATAAACAAAGAGGATGATTGGTGCATGTCAAACGAAAAGGCCATATCATTGGATTCAGCGTGAATTTGCATTCAAATACAAAGATAAAAAAATTATGGACTGTTGGAAATTGCAAATATATGACTATCGTAATTAGCAAAAATTTAGTTTAAACATTTTATGTCAAGCATTTTATACTAACATCCAATTAAGGATCTCTCAGCTGCCAATGCTTCTGAGCATTTGTGTTTTGCTTTTTAATGTGACTCAACAATGGAGAAAAATCAATTAAACCAATATCTACCATTCTTTTTGGAGAAGATAGCATATTTTGGTAGACATTTTAGAAATTCCTTAAACATCAAAAATCCTTCTCAAATCTTAGCAAGGGTTGTTTTCTAATGAGCTGATTTTGTAATCAATCAAGTACCACTAAATGATTCCAGGTAAGTGTGGCTACCAGATTCTTGAATTTAAAGTAATTTCTATATTTTCCTAGGTCATGATATTATGAAGCTAAAAAAGAAATATGAGTGAACATGTCAATTTGGTATCTGCATACTACAAATGCTAAAAATAAAGTCTTCAATAAAAAAAAAGATTTATGGTGGTTATCTTCACCAAATCATGACTATAAGTTTCTTCCAGACTTATTAGATTGTAATTATTGTATTTTTTTTCCCCTTGGGTCCTGAATCAATCAGAAAGTTTACCTGTTGGATTTAGGGAAAACCAGAACTCTATTTGACATGGAGCATGCTATTCGAACTATTTTTTAAAATCCCTTTTGCATATATTTCAGTTTCAGGAAACAATTCTCTCGAAATAGAACTTAATTTTGCAAGTTTGAGAAGATCTAAATATACAATGATGTGTATATTTAAGAAATGTTGAGGAAAAGTAGTAGTAAAAAAGTCTTTGTTTTACTTGAGCTCAAAATTCTTAAAGCTGTTGATAAGTTGATACCATACATTAATTGTCACTGAACAGCACAAATGGTTTATCACACTTAAAAAAATTATCTATTATCTATTCATAACACAAGGAACCAAATGGTTCATCCACAAATCCAAACAAGGCATGTCAATACCTTTTTGGTACAGTGTTGTGTGTTGTATTGACATGGCATAGTACAGTTTGGCATGTCATGTGACAACTCATACCAACTAGCACAACTGAAATGTTGTCCAATTTTATCCTAGTGACATTTCACCATTTTTCAACTTTTAGTTAATATGACATTTCACATATATCTGCAAAAATATTCATCTAAAAAGAATTTTGGTAATCTTTTTAATCCTACAACTACAATTGCCTAATTTTTACCACTCTCCACACAAAAATGTTATAATGATGAAAAGAACACATTTGTGATGCCAAGGAACCTCTATCGGCCTGTATCAGATACAGGAGAATTGGATTCTCACCCTACATGTCCTTAGTCTTAATCTTGCAATCAATGCTCAAGAAAAAATATCAAATTTGTACCACACACACTCTTGCATTTTCTTTCATCGCTACACTATGTCTGTTCACTGAGAAAAACGGGCAAGCAGTAAGAACTTAAAACGTCAAGGATCATATTAAATGACCAAACCATTTTTTATTGGAATGTCACCTGACAGAGTAGCTGAAAAGAAGAATCTTGTCACCGCCTGTAGTCCATGACAATAATAGGTTCTCCAATGCCCGCATTTTTCCACAATGTTCAACGTCACTAAGCCCCATGAAACTTTCAGTTTGAGCATTGCCACCGATCAAGTCAACATCGGCACCAAGAACAGCAGATACTAGCTCAGCATCCTTCTTTTGCTTCTCGAGATCATCCTTTGGATTGGGCTTTATCAGCTCCAAATGATTGCTTATCTGTAAGACTCACATTTAACATTCTAACACACATTAAGAAGAACATTTAGCATGAAAACATTGTATGCTCAAAGTACCTGCTGAAGCTTGATAAGGCAAGGAAGAACTAGGCAGAAGGGGCATGATTCACAGCCTTCAGGATTGTCCCTGTGCAAATACGTCCATATGATACCATTTGGAACTATCTTCTTGCAACACTCAACCTGAGCTAAAGGGCTGCCACAGCTACAAAGAAGATCCTTATTTATTAGGCATTGGACATCAGGCTGTTCCAACATCCTCTTGTAAACTCGCTTTTGCAACTCACTCATTCCACAAAAGACAACATTATCTTCTTTCCCTAACATAAGATGTCCTATAGTCTCCTCCTTGGTCCTTCTTAACAAGTACTTCTGCAAAACTGCAACAAGATGTTGTTTCCGCTCATCGGCAATTTGGACATATCTTTCTGGAGCACTTAACCTCTGACCATGTTTCAAAGGTTCATCATAGAAATCCCGAAAATGTTCCCAAGTCCCTAAGGACCTGGGGGCAACCCAATCAAACAGATTAAAAAGCTCCAATATCCTGTTCTGCATAATAGTTCCAGTGAGACCAAATCTTTTTCTGGTTTTTATTCCTAAGCATGCTTTATATAACCGTGATTTTTCATTCTTCAAGCGATGTGCTTCATCAACAATTACAATTTCCCATGGAATTTCACATAAAATTTTATCGTGAACCCTGAAAGTGTCAAAGCTAGTAATAAGTATCTCTATACCATGAGATTCGAGTTTCTCAATAATCAAAGCACGATTTGGTCCATGATAAACAACAACCCTAAAGTCTCCCCATTCAGAAAACTCATTTTCCCAGTTGTGAATAACTGAAGTTGGACAGATGATCAGCGTGGGGCCCTTCTTAATGACATGTTCCATCTCATGAACTCCATGTTCACCATCTTTTCCAATAACAGCAGCAAGAAAAGCTATGGTCTGGATGGTTTTCCCAAGCCCCCTAGTTTAAGATGAAATAGAATGTTCAGCATAGACATGAGAAAAAGCACATATGATAGTAATTTGGAAGACTATCTAAGAACCATGATAAGTTGGGAAGGAGTAAAAGAGGAGATATATGAAATAAAACAGACTTTAAAATTATTTATATGAGATATAATCAATTCAATATAATAATAATTCAGCTAAAGTATATATAAAAGCACAAATGAAAGTGAATTTTGTTCCATTCTACATCTCTAGATTCAAGAGGCTAACTACTTGGTTGCATTTTACAATCCAGCTAAAAACGTTTTGATGACCACTTCAAAATTTCAAGAGGGCTGTGATTTAGAAAATTATGGGGAAAAATAGATAATTAGTTACTACAATTGCTAATCATTTTTCCTACATTTTACAAGTACCATCATATTGGTCATTTTTTAAAGCACATGCCAAAATTTTTGCATAATATGGAACGGTATACAACTGTTACTGATGCCTAGCATGTCTTTGATATGTTTCCTTCATAAATCTATCAAGACCAATTGTCAATAGCATGTAGCAATGTACTACCCAATACAATATAATCAACATGATAGTGGTAATGACATACAAGAAATTGCAAATTTATTAAAACAAAATAGGGTATTACAATAACTTCTCAAAGAAACTCTACCTATGCAGAAGGAAATAACAAAAACAAGATTTCTATAAACCAAAGAAGAATGATTACATGTCATCTCCAAGTACACCACCATGGTTGTTCTTGTACAAATTGTATAAAAATCTAACACCATCTCTTTGATGTTCAAGAAGCCTTGAATTAATCGATGCAGGAACCTGCAACGATGCAACAACGTGTTAGGACTTGTAACAAATGGTCCTGCCTATATGTATATAATTTTTCTTATGAAATTGCATCTACAAGTTACAGTCAATAAAGATTAAGACTCTCAAATCGACTTGAGAAACATGTCACGGTTACAAACAAGGCATCTACTGTGGAGTTAAAGGCAGGTTTAGAGGCTCCTTATCAAGTACATGAATATGTTCCACAAAACCATGCAACATAAATGTTAAGGTAAAGAAAGGGAATATACCAACTTGTCTTGGCTGATAAGCAAAACAACATCATATAATTCAGTTAAGTGGGTAGAGTGTTCCGATTTTTTTCTTTTTGTAACAACACACAAAGATGGAGTAGTTTAGTTTTTAAATTCAAGAATCACATATTGAATTATTGAATAATTCAACATTCATAAAAAAAAATCCAGCTAAAGCACCAACCAAGAAGGATCGCTAAGAATTTGAAAATTACCAGAAAGTTCACTAAGTATGAAAGGCAGACAGTTTAAAAAATATTCCAAAGTGTATTGGAGGATGCGTGCATTTATATGTGTTGGATTGGAAGGAAAACCATGCGAAGTGAATGTCATCAAAGTTGCAATTGTACTTGAGCATCCCTCTATGAGTGACAGGTAAGATACACACACGTAGTTATTGTGGATCTAACGACGAGTAAGAGAGATAAACTTTAACATGTACGTATATAGTGCAAACAACAAAGCAACTTACGGAAGCAACAAAATTTCATGCCTTCCTCAAGAGAGTAGCAAGAGTTCCCACTGATGGTTCATAAAAGTGGAACAAATCTACGAACAGAACTAGAAATGTCCAAACAAAGAGCTTATGATAGTCAGCTTAACAAAAAGGCTAACCATTTGTGACTATGTTATACATGTTCAAAAGTATGTTTTTTTTACTAAAATGTCGCCCTTTTCCAGACTCCACAAATCAGAATCATCAATCTCTTCTGCCTCAAATGGGAATGACAAGAAGCTCGCACAGCTGTTCACCAAGAATATTAGCAATGAGGACTAAGCATCCAAAAGCAGTTATTAACCAACGCCTACATAAAAACCTACAGGAAATAGAGACTTCAAACAAACATGGAAAGAGTTATAATGGACTCCAGGATGATGCACGATGCAGTCTAAGAAAAATCTTCCTGCAAAGTTGCTTGCATTGATCTGAAAAATGAGGTTTCTATCGAGCTAAAATTAGTTCAAACGACAAGAAAGCATTAAATTAAAACGAAATCCTCCAGAAATCAAAGACAATGTCGAAAGGCACCACACGCTGCCGCTTGTCTGTATATTCAACATTCAGAATTCATTGCAAAACCGATCCATTCCACCTCTTAAAGAAGCAAAGAGAAAAATACCTGAACAACAGGCGTTTCTCCGGGAGAAGAAAGAACCAAGGGCTCGTAGGGCCCTCGAGCCTCAAAAGCGACCGACTGGGGAAGGAACGCGTCACTGTTGAAGCGAGCAGTAGCTGCGACACCTCCACCCTCCTCCTCCTCCTCCTCATCCACATCTTTGTCCTCTTCTACTCGTCGTATTCTTGCGAGGTCGGGCGCACGGAATAGGAGGCCATCGGAGAGGGACTGGGGGTCGAGGCGTTGGAGCTGCTGCGACAGGGACGATTTGGGCGGCTTCCTCGAAAGGGGGAATTGTGTATAGGAGGACGAGGCGTGGGAGGCGCCAGCGGCGGTAGTGGTGGAGGAAGAGGCGGAGAAGTTGGAGCAGGGGCGGAGGGTTTCCTTCAAGCGATTAAACGACATGGTAGTCTTTCAAGGGCGGTTTCTTCTGCCATTTATCGTGGGTGTACACACAGAAACACACTCGTTGCATACCGCCCTTTTCTTATTTATATATAATGTCAAATAAAATATATCGTGGCATTTTCGGATGAGTGATTTATCTTAATTTTTATTTTTATTAGGAAAAATACCATCTTATCATAAATCCGAATAATATCTACTCGCGAAGATTGATCCAACATCATGTAAATGTGTTACAGACTTTGCATACAAAACTATTGTTTCCTTAGTGTGACCCCGTCTAAGAAGGTTAAGCGGATCGCTTAGGTTTTCTTGAGTGTGATTCGTCCGGTAAAAAAAGTTTAGAATTGTTTGGTGATGCTTCGCGTTGCCTCGAGGTATTCGCGTTGCCTCGAGGTATTCTTTAGACTTATCGGGGGGGGTACTGTAGAAAATAAAAAAGATTTAGCACAGCCAATGAGAGTTTTGGTTGAGTCCTCCCTTCCATTTGGTTTCGGGAGCTAGTTTTTATACCTGATTTCGATGGAGGGTGATCGGTTGCTCATCCCCCTCTTTAGCTTCTTATACTTGTCAATGATTTATTTGTGTCGATGATTTAATGAACATGTTTTCCTGTTACGTTCTAGAAGGATGATTGGAGGCACACCGCCTGTCAAAGTAGAGTCATATTTGAAACGCATAGATTATGAGGATTGACGTCAGGTGTATGAAGAATTGGACTATGTTGTTAAGAATTAATGTTCCATACGATTAAACATACCATCTCTTCTGAAATTATGGTTGTGAACGATAGATCTCTGATGATCGAGAAAAAAAATTAAGAGGACGAGTTTGGTTACCGTGTAGTGATGGTCGACTTATGCAGCTTCTTCGGAGTTTGTGTTTCGATTGGACGACCACGTGCAGGAACGATATGAGCTCTTATAAAAAATTAATATTATAATATTTTTTTTTTCTATTACTGATTAAAAAATATTATAATTTGATCGATTCGATCGATCCATAAGAGGTTAAAGAAAAAAGAATGTTGTTCGAGACTATTAAAAATGGGAGGCGTTGGTTAGAATAAAAAAACCTAAAAACAATATTTTTCTTTGGGAAGTCATCATTTTTAAATATACTTTTCTTATATATTTTATCTAGTCCTATCTAGTAATAGTATATAAAATAAATTAAGAGCATGCAAAGCAGATGAGACTTAATTGGTTTTTCTTGGTAACCTGCATGAATCAACCAAGTTAAATTAATTGGATTTTAGTTTTGTAATATAATTAAGGTCACATCAATATTCTTAACTTAAATATTTCTTTTTATTTTTTTTAATATAATCGACATCCCAGACTTAGAAAATGGTATGAATAGATTATTCAACGTTTGAGAGGTTGTTTCAACCTCACTCACTTAATTACCAAAGATCAAATTAACGATAACATTTTGCAAAATTTATACATATATATATATATATAATTAATTATAATAACATGAGAAATGTTGACAAGAAATGTATATTTGAATGCCTAAATAGTTAGTGAGTCCAACGTTTTTACTTTGAGATTCGGGCGGGATTGGTGATTCTTGTATTTATATTTATTGTTTTGTTAGGATATAAAAAATGTGCATGGCTAATCAGAAGACCAATAGATTTAATACAGTATTATTCTTAAGAGTATTATTCAAACTCAATTGGCAGAACCAAACGAAGACGAAAGACGAATTAATTTGGTCAAACAAAAGCAATATAGAATCCAAAAAGCAATATCTCACACAATTATAAAGTATTTATTATATGCAATACTAGAGTAGAAAATTAAGAAGATGTGTGTGATCATTTTCATACGCTTTTGTTATATTTGTAGGTAGAAAAAAAATCATTTAATTAAATTATCAAAATATTAAATTGGTCAAATTTGACCGGATTAGATCAAATCACCAGTCATTATTTTAATTTCGATGAGAACCTCATCAAAACTTGCAACCCATCGTTCGATTAAAATTAAATATGCGTAGTGGTAATAGCAAGTCTTCGTGGGCCCATGTTATACCCCAATCGCAGGGAAGGTATTGACGGGGTGAGATATTTGCGGGTAAAAAGATGTTTCTCCCACTAATAAAAAGAAAAGAAAACGAAAAAGAGGGTGTGGAGATGATCGATCGATCGATCAGCCCCGGTCGGTCGGACCGCGAGCAAACGCTGCGTCTCGCTCTCTCTCTCCCTTTTCCTCCTCCTCCTCCTCCTCCTCCTCCTCTAAAGAAAGAAGAGCCACAGCTCGCCCTCTCCTCCTCCTCCTCCTCCTCCCTCTCTCTCTCTCTCTCTCTTCGTCTTACACCTCAAGCCTCTCGTCTCTTCTCCGGGGACAAGCGAAAAAGGAAAATAAAAAAAGAGTAAATGCCTGCCCAAAAGCGCCCGCTTCCTCCTCCTACTCCTCCACCGGATCACCAACTCCCCCCCTCCGATGAGTCTCCGCCTGCTGACCGACCCCCGCCTCCCTCGTCTCTGCCGACACCGGCCGTTCAGCATGAGCAGGAGCAGGGGCGGGAGGAGGATGGTGGCGATGGCGGCGAAGGGGACGCGGGGAAAGAGCCGCCAGAGGTCCCTCAAGAACAGGATGGTATGGCCTCCCGGCGAGGCTCTCTCTCTATCTCTCTCTCGTTCCTCCTACTGAGTCTCGATCTCACTGCCATCTGCCGCTGGTTGTGCTTGATCTTTTTGTTCACAGCAGATTCTGATGGCCGAAATGCTGGCGGCCAATCGTCCGATGAAGAAGACGAGGACGACGATGAAGCCGTGAAACTAGAGTACGTCGCCCTTCCCACCTTCTTTCCTTCTCTGTCTCTCTATCCCTGTCTCTCGCCCACCACGACAGAGTCTCTCAGTTTTGTGTCTGGATTTGCGACTGCCTCTGCACGGCGTTGGATTTCTTGTTTGCTACGATGCTCTGTCAGATGCAGGGAGTCGTCTTTCGTGTCTCATGCACGCGGGTAATATGTGCATTTGGCAGATCGGGTGTCTTGCGTACCCTCGTCCGTCCTCCTGATGGGTGGGTCTTCTTGGTGGTGAGTTGGATGAGCTTCTCCGCCGCCGCCTTCCTTCACGCATGCATGACTGCTTATGTTTGCGATCAGGTTGAGGTAGCGGCAGACGCTACTAATAAGTCATAGGCCATGGAAGAAGCTTATTGAGAAGATGAAATGATAAAATCAACCTTCGAACAGCAACTTTATACATGCCATGTTTGTCATGATTACTATTGCTTGCATGCTTGTTGCTTCTGTGCCGGTGATCCTGATCCTTTTAAGTCTTGTTGTGCTTCCACTAAGGTTTTGGAGGTCATGTTTGGCTTCATTTTCCCATGTGGCCAATTTCTAATCTAGTCATCTGTTAAATCTTCTGGCTACTTGATTATTTTTTAATGTTTTCTTTTAAGTATATATTACCAACCTTTGTTGTTGCCCAGTGGTTTTTTCTATAAATTTTCTTAAAGGTGGTACCTTAATAGGTTAGACCTTCTAGTATAATTTTTTTATTTTCCAATCCAGGGATTTTCTCTGCTCTCTTGTTCCCTGTAGTTTCAGTGATAACACTCAACATCATTTATGGTGCTATGATCTAGCTCAAGTGTCTTAGATTAAGTTTTATAAAACAATTCTGGGAGTTCTGATTCGTTTCCATCGATGTCTTGTATGGTAGGGCTTTGAATGTCAGCAAATTGCTCTCATCCATACATTCAAAACTAAAGGATTCCAGTTAATCGCACTCTAGCTTGTTCCTTCTAAGCATATCTTGTACTTTTTCCACCTATGCATTTGCAGCATGCCAAAATCTTGCCACAAATACTTTCTCAAATGTGCTGCATTGTCTTTTTAGGTGCCACATGTTGTTTTCTTGGTGTTGACAAACCTCTCATGTATTCTGCTATTATAGCTGGAAGATGATTAAAAAGTTTGTTATGTTCTAAAACTAAAAAACCTGTTGTGTTCTTAAAAGCTAAAAAATGGGTACTATTCCCAGCAGTTAAGGATAATGTAAAATAAACATGTGTGGAATGGGTTATTACCTACTAAATATGATATTTTAGGACTCAAAATAGTGGTATCTCAAGTTCTTAACTATACGTAGGCATTGCATACTTGCTAACATCCTTTGTTTGGGTTTTTCAAAGTATCAAGGCCCTTCTCCAATAATTCATCACTTTCTGTGCTGTTATGTATATCATGTGATTCTCCTTCAACCCTTTTCTGAAGTTCATTATTTAGATTCTATCTGATAAGAGCTAGGAAGTTCCCTGCGATAAGAGGTGCTACTTTTAGCTGATCTATGAAGTGAAACTAAGCTTTTAGTATTTGTCATAAATCATTATGCTTATGGTTGCTACTTAATGCACATCGTTTTTGCTGTGCAAATCCCTCAGTTGCTTCTTTCTTAATCCACAACCAAATTGTTACTTGCATTTGATAGTGTCAATTGTTCTCTTGAAGTTGAAGAATCATTAATGTTCTTGCCTTTTGTCTTTATGGAGAAAGAACAGCCTTGTTTTTTGTACATCTTTTTCTATTTGTTCCTCCAGTTATACTGAAAATTTTCATTAATCTGCCAAAGCCTTCTTCATGTATTCACAGTAAATTTTTGTTCTTTGTTCATGAACCATATGCAGATAAATTTCCTTTCATGAGTAGGCCTTAATTTATTTGATTTCTTTAGGCAGGTAACTTACCTTGATATTCTGTCTATGGAGCCTGCATAGGTCTTATTATACCATGTGGTTGCTCTTTGCCAGTGTGGCTTTAGTTTGGCATGAATAGTGAACGAAACCTTCACCTACTGTTTCCTTATTTGGTATGGACAGTGAATAATTATTCTATCTGTATCAAGTTTATTCATGCTTAAATCTTTTTTCATGCTCTACTTGATGAGCGACTATTGTCCTGCATAAATTGATAGAAGCTGCTGCTAGAGACTGCTAATGCATGAACAATTTAATATTCTACTCGCCTGTGCAACTGTATAATCATTGAGCAAATACTTAATGGTTGTTCTCACATGTGACCCACTATATGTTTGAGATAGCTGTGTAAATAAATTTTTCTTCACCTTAATACTTTATTGTGGTTGCAAGAACTATGCTTGTATGCAGTGGCCTTATTTTATTTACAAACTTTATGGTTCTGCACACCTAAAATCTCATCTTACTCTGGCTCATTCTTCACATTTTTTCAAATAATAAAATTTGCATAGTGCATACTACACAGAACTGATATTGATTTTTTGCTGGTTCACAGATTTGTCCCCGTGAAGCTGGCGGACATTCGAAAAGAAGTGCAATGCCCTATATGCTTGGGTACAAACATTTAAGACCTCTCCGAACACATTTGAACATACGCCCATCCCCATAAATTGATTACTGATAAACTTATTTAGATTTATTCTGGTTGCTATCTGTATTATGCCGTGTAATTTTTTGTTCATATTTATCCTAAACGATGTTAATTTAAGATCATCATATTCAGTTTAATTTATCATACTGTAGTTGGACGAGTGCATGTTTTACAATTGTACCCACAAATCTGAAACACAGGATTATTTAGGTCAATGGATCCAGGGTCCTAGGAATATCAGTATAACTTGGTTCGGTTAATTGTTGGTCGCATCAGCCACGAGTTGGTCGACCAAACCAATCCTGAAGATGCTGACCATTCTGAACTAATCCTAGCCTGTGGAGTCAAGTGTGAATCTTCGCTATACTAAGAAGACAAAAAGCATTAGTCAGGGTAAGATAAAAATTGGAAGAATTGCAAAATAAGGCAGAATAATATTAGCATTTATGTTATATTCATAGGCTGGACAAAGACATCTTCCATTCATGTTTTATTGGCTTTGTAACACTCTTTAGTCTAAAATATTTTTTGGTTTATATTATTTATTATTTTGTGGATTTCTGAATATTTTAATTTTTGTCCAAAACACAGATTACCTAATCAGATTCAAATAATCTTTATTTATAACAGAACCTGTATTCAACTATTGATCTTTAATCATCCAAACCTTGGTTTAATATGCATGTTTGACCCCTTCTAAGATGATGCATGTAAAAGTTTTCCTAGTGTGTCAATAAGGTCTACTGTCTTTCACTTTTTTTTTTTTTTTACTTAGAGTTGTTACATAATAAATGCAGTATGAGAAAGCATGACTTCTTGACTTTTGATCTCTTATATCTCTAATAATTTTCTTCACATAGTTATGCTTGTCTTTCTGCCCGTCAGCAGATCTTGTGCTTTACTGTAGCTAATTTTTTTTGTTAAATGCATAGAGCATCTGTTTTTTACTGTATGATCTATTTTTCTTTGACAAAATAAGTCAATGCTAAAATTTAAGCTAGCTACAGTTTCCGATAGGTGTAGATGATCTCTATTTTGAGTCTGTTGCTGGTTGATTCTTTTTTGTTTTGTGCTTTCAGTGGATTCACTTACCTATATCCACACTTCATGACTAATATAATTGTGAAATTTGTGGAAGTTCCATGTCCTCTCCTTTGTGTGTGTATATTATGGAGTTAATAACTACTCTTATTGCAAGCAGGTACCCAGAAATTTATGTATAAGCCCAGTCAGGATGTATACAAATTCATTTGTCTCTTCCCCAAATATTTTCTTTTACCACACTATCATATCAGATATTTTTGTTGTATATTTCAGAATCTGCTTGTAAGATATCAGAGTCAAAGTGCTTTCTTACCATTGAATGTTTCTGTGGAGCAATTAGATGTGCTTGAACTGACTGTTTCACAAGTGGGTTGATTGCCACTGAATTACTGTTTTGAGTCAGCAATAAGTGTCTGATGGTGGCAGGCAAAGAACTAGGCCATGAAATCTATTTTATATCGAAAAAGTGTGCAGAGGATCTACAGGCCAAGGGACAGTCTTATTTCAAGTTATTCTGTAGCTTGATGCTTATGATGGAACTATTCCTTTTTCAGTCTTTTTCTGGCATCATTTGTGACTAAGCAGCGATCTGTAAACTACAATGTTCTTGTCACTGTCCAGCCCATATACCTCATAGCCTTTGAAGCATTCGTATTTCTATGTGCTACCAGTTATTCTGAAACAAAATTTCATGATAACTTCATGCCAGGGATAATTCGGAAGACAAGGACAGTAATGGAATGCCTGCATCGCTTTTGCCGGGAGTGTATTGACAAATCAATGAGACTTGGGTATGTTGCAGAAGTGTTGTGCATATGCAAAATATTGTGCCTTCTTTTTAATGAGATTATTGAAAAGGAATAAATAAGTTAGTTTTACTTTATCCTACTGGCAAGAAAATTCATCCTCGTTCTAATTTTCCTGCAGAAATAATGAATGTCCTGCATGCCGTACTCATTGTGCCAGTCGGCGTTCTTTGAGAGATGATCCTAACTATGATGCTCTTATAGCAGCCCTATACCCAGATATTGATAAATACGAGGAAGAGGTATATCGGATTTGGTATTCCTGATGAACTTGCTAAATCTATTAATTCAATATTTTCTACTCATTTGTTCACTATTATTGTTGAGTCATCAGTTCCTAATTTTATTGTGTGGCTGCAGGAACTGGCTTTCCATGAAGAGGACAAATTCCGCAATAAGAAGGTAGCATCATCTAACTGAACAAGTATTATTGGTAGATCAATGTGTATAATTGATTGTTATTTTACTCCAATCTCCTATCCAAAATAGATACAAGCATACATAGCTGAGACATTTCGACGACAATCGGAAGCTCTTGGTAGGAGAAGGTCTACATCTAAAGCTGCTACACCATTTGGAAGAAGATCACAAGGAAGTTACCGAAATCATCTGCGTGGGAGAGGTAGAAATATTGGTCGTGACATGGCAGTTGCAGGCTCTGATGATGATGAAGAAGAAGAAGCAAATGGTAACGATGGCACTAAAGATTCCTCTTCTGCTGATGAGCCCTCTCCTGACCGAAGACCAAAGAGATGCAAGAGATGGGGAGCACCGCGATCTTCACCAGCTAGAACAGTGGGCAGTGTTGATGTTGGATCTGAGGAGAATGATGACTTTGAAGTCAACAAAGAGCCTCTTGGGACATCACCTCTGCGAGCAGGAAACAGAGATATGCTTGCTTGGGGTAAGAATGGCACGCGTAGTCAGACTAGACATGGTAATACTAGCGGTGCAAATGGAAGGTTGGTCAAAGGTGGGCGCATGGCCAAATTGGTGGACTACCTACGCAGTTTAGATGATGCTGATGATGAGGTACAGTAAGAGGATAGGGTAACCTTTTTCTTCTACTTACCTCATAATAACTTCTGTTCATACTTAGTGCTTTGTGATTTTTTCTACCTTTTCAGTTTGATGTACATTTGACCCTGGTTCCTCTGGATGATGGAAGTATGCCAAATTTGGAACAACCATATCTTAGCTGCCGGCCAACCTTGTCAATCGGACATCTTTGCCAAGTGAATACATTTGAGCTACAACTGCTTCTGAATTATGTTGCTTAGTGTTTGAAAATCTTAAGGTTCTGTTCCTTATTCGGAGTTTGTGGATGTACGCAGTTTATTGCTCTTCAGACATCTGTACAAGCTGAAGAGTTGGAGATATATGCAAGGAAGCCTCGGAGTGGCACTCTCGGGGGCGGGTCTTCCAGCTCGATGGATGATGCCCCTACTGTACCTTGCATAGGCCTACAGATACTGGAGGGACATGAATCTCTTGCAACACTTATTGCTTCTTTCACTAGTGAACGAGGGGAGCTGGTGAGATTTCTCAACCAGTATATAGTTAATCACTTGATGTTCTTCTCTATAAGCTTAAGCTTTAAAGCGACAGGCATCCTTTTTTGGTCCCCAGGTGTTGGTGTACCGTCGAAAGGCACAGTACAGTGCTAGAGAAGTGCTCAACATCACTTAATATGATGTTTCCGCATGAGAACCCCAACATAAACCAGACACCTTTTTTTTTTTTTGTCTGTGCTCTATATGTATATGATATACATACAATACATATATATACATAAATCCAAATAAAAGGCTGGTCGAGCGATGGAACGATAGTGATTGAAATCACAGAGCACCATGTCTGGACAAGAAGGTCGGACCAAGATGCGAAGCGGAGAGAACTTCCATGCTAACTTCATCCAGCAGTGAAATTAAATTTTAATATCTCTTTAATTATGTCCCAACAAAGTAGGAAGTGACATGTCTTTGGTTTCTTTCAGTTTATACTTGTGTGTTTACTGTTGTTCACTTGAATCTAATTTCCCTTTCAGCTGCTCGTCATATAATCTATTGAAATGCGCTACCTCTCCGTTTATGACTTGTACCATCTTTCTTTCATATGACAAAGTCTAGTTCTTTGAAACTATACAATTTATGTCCTTCGTGCTGAGGAAGTCGATAATGATGTTGGACATTGTGAGGTTGCTCCATCTCCTCCTGACTCATGCAACATTGTTACACAGGGAGGATGCTCCTGATGATGACAGGTTAGTGTAATCTCTCGAGACAAATCTCGTACTTGTCGTCAATAGAATGCTCGTAGCCAAGTTGGCTAGTGTTTCTGGCTTCGTGACAGGGAGTCTCAAATTGCCTTTCTGACGTTCTATCATCGATTGCCTTTTTGGAACCTGAGTTCGAAAATTAAACAATCCACCAAATGGCTTCATTGTGTTTTATAACCTTGTGTGCAGGGAAGAATCGAGTGCGCAAATGCTGCTGCGTTCCACGACTTAATCTACGACTTCGTGCCTTCGATCGCCCGCACCCATATAAATAGGTAACAGTTGTCCAGTCATTTGGTTGTGCCAACTTCCCCCTGCCTTTTGTGGCGACGGTCGACAACTTTGGAATTCGCTGCGGGCTTCGCCATCGTCATTACCTTTCCATGCCTTCGACACCGTCGAGGTCCGTCTTCCTCTTCATTTATCTCTCCCAGTCTTTAATCCATCGTACTAATTCTTTAGGGTTTCTTTCTTCTTTTGGTTTGGTCGGTGGCTCCGATTCTATCCTTCGAACAACTGATTGTGTTATTTGAGTTTATTGGAGTGCTTTTCGGGTCCTGTAAAAATCCTGGAAACGGAAGAAAGAAAAGGAATTTAGTTGTTTGGTTGGCTGTGTTTGGGGCTTTGAAATTGATGTTTCTGGACCAAAAACAAGAATTCCAAAGGGTCCGAGGTCAGAAATGGAATTGGGGGGTCATTAACCCATGCAACGCTTTGACATGCCTGAAATCAATCCTTCTGCTCTATTGGCTTCTTTTCTAGTTGATTTAGGAAAAATGTTTTCGAGATGCCAAGGATTGACTATTAATCCCTTGAAGTTTATAATATTCATATTTTCCGTTCTAAATCCTAGTTTAACACGCATATGTATAACCCCTGATTCTTAAGGGTTGAAAGTCCAATTATTATTGGTATCCTTCAAAAATATGAATATGCATATATATGTATCCCTTCTTGCAGTATTATTTTCATATTTACCCCTCTAAATTTAAGTTTTGGAAATGAGTAGTAGTTGAGCAATTGGTAAAAGTGTCAGTGGAATTCAAGTTATTTAAAATTTTAATTATTTTTTCCAAACTCATGGTTACATACATGGTGGTAAACTTTAGTTTATTAGATTGATGATAATGGGGCTGATATGTATGAAAAATTTAAATATCTATCTTAAGGGAATTTGAAAAAGTTTTATAGCATCATTGCAGTGTATGCCATATTGGAATTTGGAAACGATGTATTCTTTATCCTCCAAAGATTTCAGATGTTAGAAACTTCAGTTAAGAACGTCGGTGCCTACATTGATTTGAAAAAGGAGATCCTGTAAATTAAAGACCTTCATAGTTTGTTGCTAAAACATTGTCAGCATGTTGTGAGAATTTAATGTTTATAATTTGCTCATGAACAGTGGGGTCTGCAAACACTGTGCACACAAAGAGGTGATTAACAAGAGTATTCTCGTAGTGAAATGATGAATCATTGCTTGTGCACCATCGGTTATTTTAGTGGAAATGATGAATCCAATCAGATAGAATTGTTCTTGATGTGATATGGTTTGATGGAAGCTTTTGTCAGAACAAAAATTGTTCTGATTGAAAATGATGCAAAATTATTGAAGTTCTGATAGTTTGAGGGGCTGACAGATTATTGAAGAGTTCATGGAAGTCTGATTGGAGTAGAAGCTTATCTGAATTTTCTTGATGTTTTTGAGTCAACCTTGTCATTAGTGAAGAACATCCAAAGCAACAGGTGCGATCAACTTCAATAAGCTGTTTCACGTATGAGTTCCATTTAAAATCATACAAGCTTTGGAAATAACTAATACATTATGCTGATAGTTTTAGTTAAACAACTTTTAGTTGCACTTTTTCGAATATGAGGATTGAAGTACACACATGTTGCGATTTTTAATGAAACACAAGGCACAAATTTAGTCAATTTGAGGGATGAATGAAACTTTCCTATTAAGTTGTATCAGTAAAAAATTAGAGTATCTCATTGTATCTGTGACCACTTCATGGCATGCCTGATAATTACCAATCTCTTTTACAATTTAATTGTTTTTTCTCATTTCAGAACTTTCATGCTTCAACATAAACAGGTAGATGATTATAATAATGATCATGTGACAGGTCAAGTTGCAAGGTCACCACGCAAAAACACAAAAGTCAAGGAATAGGAGGAGGCTTTACAATGCACTAGTCGGATCTTTGATTACTCAAGGAGCATACTTTTAAGGTTAGTCTTTTCTTTTTTTCTATGGGATATATTAAGATTTTAAGATTATATATATATTTTTTTTGGCACGCTAAAAATGGTCAATTTTAGTGAGCTTGAACTGCTCCTAATAAGCGCAAACTGATCTTTAGCTTTCATATAACATCACAGTGTGCTGCACACTACACTGCTTATAGAATTAGAACAGCCCTTCCTGGCCTGACTTGACTCCTCCTGCCCATCCAGCCTTTTGGGCCCTTGAAGTTCTACCAACTGCAGATTTAGGTACATCCAAAGTTCCCAGGCAGATGAGTTTTCAGGCAGATAAGTTAAAGACGAGCTTTTATTATCATTATGGAGGGATGGGAAATAATATGGTGACATTGTAGCAGATGATACTTAATTCACGGGAAACGAACATAAAAGAGGAGGCTCCAAACACCTCTCTCATACGCACGCACACAGTAGCAAGCTAGCTTATTAGGTAGGTAGGTTACCACGAAAACCAGCAAATCCCAAAAGACATTACTCTCTGGGGGTAATTATCTGGTCTTTTTGACCTTCTTCACTTGTCGTCTATCTGTGAACAGCCAAGCTCAGATCAGATCAGCGGTGGGTGCTCTTGGTTTCACCACTATAAAGCCTGCACAAGAGAAACAATGCACGAGGCAGAAGAAACCATGACATGAAAAGGGTGTAATATAATGATGGATATGTATAATGATACGATACAATCTGATACCAGTCATAGACGGTGGGGGAGTTGGGCTTAGGCTTGTCGAACAAGTCAGCGCCGAGGCTCTTGGTGGCGGCGTTGCTGCCGGGGTTGAAGACGCTCCGCCACACGTCGTGGCGCGGGGTGTGGGCGTTGGCGGACGTCGGCGTCACCGGCGTGGTTGGCGTCTGTGGCATCGACATGGACCGCTGGTACATGCCGCCGCTACTCTCCCCTTCTGCGTGGAAACCAAAACGATGTCTTTAGGGAATGCTGCTAACATGAGAGATGGAGATGAGTTCTAATGGGGGTGGACCAGAGAGACCTTTGACGTTCAAGGGCTTGGTGGAGACCTTCCTCAGCTTGCCGAGGCCCCTTTCAGGCGGAGGCCCCGCGAGGACGTCGTCCCACATCTTATCAAGAAGAACCATTGTAGTTCTACTTTTTTTTTTTTTTCGCTTCTTCTCCTCTCTCTCTCTCTCTCTCTCTTGCTTGATGGGGTGATGAAAGGGGTGGGTGCATATTTATAGTATAGACAATCCTCATATGTGCAAGCCACCACTGGGTGATTTCGCCCTTCGCACGTTCCAATAGTGTGAACGGTAGAGGGTGGGAGGATAGGACAGCCACCGCAAAGCGGTTACGAGGTGAAGCCGTCGTCCTAATCCTTAGGTCCGAAAGAGATGGGTTCGGAAGATGTGAGAAGTGCGGAGGTCCGTCAAAATCAACAACATAAAATGCCTTCGTTCCTCCCAACTGTGGCTACCGATGGCGTCGGCATTTTTCTTTCGCTGGTCGACGCGCGTCATGACATGGGGCGAAGAAGGCCGGTGTTTTTGAGTTGGAATGGTGAGACGAGGGTGGTTCCGCTTAAGTTTTGCTTTGCTTGGTCAATTAGAGTTTCGCAAGAGAAACAATGAAGCTCTCAGTTGCACCAGTTCTTGTTAAGGTTGGGCTTGGCCCGGCCCGGCCCGTCCGGGTCCGGGTCCGGCTCAAGAAGGTAAACTAAATTGAAGTCTCGCCACTCCATTTTATCATACCCCTTTTATCATCGGAAACACATCAGATTGTGGGAACAAAGCCCAACAACATTAACATACAAAAGAAAATAAATAAATACATGACACAAAAATAAAATACGATCCTGACGTAGCCCTGCAAAATATTCCTGGATGGGAGAACAAGTGCCTCCGTTCACACACACCACACCACTGCATGTCGGGGTGTTTTCACACTCGCGTTCCTCACCACGCCCGCCCCACTCGCTGCTTGCTTGTGGGCCCGCGCCGCTCGCCACAGCCATTCACTGCAGCTCGCGATCACATCGCGTTCCTCTCATCATCGCCTGCTCATGGGCCTACATTGCTCGTCGTAGTCGCCTGCCACAACCCATGATCACATCGCTCACTACGGTCCTCGTCGCACGCGATGGGATTTTTGTGGACGTAGGAACGACGTTTGTGTTGTAATCCGAATCACATTAAATCGTTTGTATTTGTTTTATATTTTTTATTGTCTGATTTTTTTTTGTTGATTCGATCTATATCTCGAGACCTCTTAACCTACTAATCCTCCCAACAAAACCTAACCCTACCTCTATACCTAACTTTTTTTTAAAAGGTGATAGACTTTAAACATTCATTAAAAATAAAAATAAAAAGGAGAAAAAACAAAGAGAGAGAGAGTTAATAAATAAAAAATGTATTGATTTATTTAATATCTTGATATCTCACTCTTGATATGCTTTTCTCTCTCAATATTAGAATTAATAGGGGTCAATCCAAAAGTGAGACTTTAACTAAAATAAAGAATTCTAACTTTAGTAATCTCTTAAATGATTCATTTATCTAAAACTAAATTTTAATCTAATGTCCAACATCCTCCCCTAAATTACCAAATTAATATCGTGAAAGATTTTAAAGCCTATTGAAAATTGGTACGATGGATGACATGCAGTGGTATCGGAAAGTCTGTCCCATACTGTTTAGAATAACCTATCTACGAGTAATTCTGAAACTCTAATTTATCTCAGATTAATTTTGAGCCAATTTCCTAACACAAAATATCAAAAATAATTGCATGAAAAAATGTGATTCATTTTAAGATCGTGAAGACACTAAGAGAAGGGAGAGGATGAATTAGTACTTTCGAAAAATTTTGATTTAAAAGTTTTGATCGAAGATAGTGAGAATTAAATCAGTTAGTAATAGAAATGAAAAGCATAAGAAAAAATATAAATCGGATTTATACTAGTTCGGTGGTCCCAATCAAACATCCATTCTCAGTTCCTCTTCTCTCGAGGAACTTCTTTTTAATGGGCGAAGATCAATTATTATTGTTACAATCTTTTTTTCTTTTCACAAGTTTAGGAGAGAATCTATTTTTCTTTGGACGTCTCTTTTACAAAAGATCACATATATCCTTTAGAAAGACTTCTAAACTCAAGGAGAAAGAGACTCAATATTTTTATTCTCAAGAATTTTTGTTTCTTTCTTGCTACGTTAAGCAAGCATGAGTATGAGTGAGCTATTTATTGGCCTCAAATGGTTTAAAAAATATAACTAAAATTTTAAATCTTTGGGTTTTCAAGGTACTGGCGGCACCACCGCCTGCACTGGGTAGTACCACTACTTGACACAGTCTATGAGATTGTGTTTTAGCGATACCACCACCTGATATTGGGTGGTACCACCGTCGAGTTTTTTCGAAAAAAAATATATTTTGTATTTTCTAGCTTACAATCAACTTTGATTCAGGCCCAATGAGCTCCCAATCAAGTTGACATGGTTACACTCACAGCTAACTCAATTAGACACTTAAATTGCTTCGATCAAGACAACGATTACAATCATGAATCCTAGCCCAAACTGCTTGACATAGTCTGGACTGTTTTTTAGTGATACCATCACCTGACATTGAGTGGTATCACTGCTAACTCTGACGGTACCATCATCGAGTTTTTTCAAAATAGTATATTTTATACTTTCTAGCTTACAAGTGGTATCATCGTTTGGCCTGGCGATGTTTGGCCTAGCGATGCTATCGCCTGGCCCAACCTTAGGTGTCTTCCAATAGGCCTAATTCAATTTTCATTCAGGCCAATGAGCTCCTAATCAATTAGGCATTGTTACACTCATAGCCAACTCAATTAGATACTTAAACTGCTTCGATCAAGATACAATGATTACAATCATGAATCCTATGTTTTTTAGCATGTCATTAGTTCATCCGACACTTTGTCCGAACTTTCGACGCATTATCCTTTCATTCGGCGTATTACTCTATCCATTGATATGTTGACCTCTTGTAACATCTGATTTTCTTGGTACAATGACCGATCCTTTTAGTTCGATGCTCGATCTTTGACACGATCCACTTTGATCAACGTTTGATTCTCGTGCTTCAATCGATTTATCTTTCCATGATCGAAGTTTGTTTTGCGTTACTTTTCTCAAACGCTCATTAGAATTATAGAGCTTGTTGTATGGATTCTCTACATAAAATTTGGATCAAAATAGACAAAATTTAATCGCGGGATCGTCTAATAAAAATCTCAAAACCCTAGCTTCCTCTCTGCTCTATCTGTTTTGTTTTCTATGGCGTCACTTTTTTCACCGTTTGTTCGCACGCCTGTCACGCCACACACAGTTCTAATAAGGTGTTTTTTTAATAGATAAGATTTGGGCTCAACTCGTTCCGTCGAAACCCACCTATAGGCTGGACCAACAAAGATGAACCATGGCATGGGCAAGAGCCACCGGACCGACATCATTGTTGCCGTTGTTGACGATGCATGTCATTCGTGGAGACGACGACGACGACGACACAGCAACAGTGTGAACAAGAAAGCCACACCGACAGGGTGTTAAGAGCTGAGCATTTGTTGTGGCTCGAAGCCTTCACGTGCATGCGATGCCATCCTTGCACGATGACGAATTGAATACTCCTTTCCGGCCTCGCTTTTTTTTTTTTTTTTTTTTTTTTATGGCTGCTGCACATCCCAAGACCCCCTCCTCGTTCTTTGTGGCCCTAAAGATTAAAAAAAAAAAAAGATTAAAGTTGTTTAGCTTTGGGGATCATAGACAGAGAGATTTCAAGGAGAAAAAGGAAATTAGAGCAGTTCTTCTGAAATGAAATCACATGCTAACCGAAAGATTTCTTCGATGTAAGCTTTCGCATGCCGATTGGTAGTTGGCAATGAGACTCCTTGTGCGGTGGTTCACTTTGGACGCTGCTCGATCGCCTTACTGCGATGCCGCGGCACAAAAAGGGCAGCGTGATCACTGGGCATGCTTCTGCTAACTTAAAATCTGATGATGGTAAGAAACAGAAGACGGATGCACTTTTATTGTTTCGGATTCAATGGATTCAGAGACCGACTTAAATGCACTTATAAAACGCCACCGCTGTGTCGGCGTCCGCCGTAGTGCAGTGTAGTGTAGTGTTGAGAAACGAGCATGAAGAGAAATGGACATGGAAAGCGTCCGTCAGTGGCGGGAACCTCTGTCTATTCTATATATTGTGTTGTGCGTACGGCCATCACAAGGGCGTCTAAAATTAAAGCCGGCTGGTGGTGGCTGGGGGGAATCGTCGAGACTCGCCCGTGACACTGCGTCCTCGTGGTGGCGCCCGTCTTCGCTCACCTCGCCATGCCTGCCTGCTGAACCCTAGCATGAAGATATACTATAGTATTATCATCAAATTTCTTGAAGAAGAATCATATAGTCTAAACATGGAAAGAAACCTCGAATATTTTGGTTTAATTATTTTATAACTATTGAAATCGATCCTCAGGATTTATTTATATGAGATTCAGTTAAATAGAGAAAAAGAGGTTTTACGTATTATATTTTATTATTATTATTTAATCATAAATCATGTGTCAGTGAGTTGTTGGATGTATGTTTTAGTATTAGTAAAATGTCTACAGTTGATGATGTTCTCGGGAATTGGACTGGACTCGCTCGTATCCATATCGTCTTCCCGGAATATCCGAACCACTGATCCATTTTCTACTCGATCGGTGTCACTTTTCTCCTCGGTTGGGATTTCCTTGGAGAGATGGACAGGCCATTGAGGTGGATGCTTCGACCAAGGAATGGGGCTGGTCGTCCTCAGTTCTGTTGTTGCCATCTCTGTCATCCGCACATGCATGCAAGCTTGTAGATCTGGTGAAGCAGCAGCACATCAATTCACTTGATGCGGACAGACACCCACCCTGCACATGCTCTGCTTCTTCTTCTTCTTCTTCTTCTTCTTCTTCTTTCTGGTCATAGCAGCAACACACGAGTCATTTTCTATTTTGGGTGTTTGGAGCAATGCTGCAAACATCTATCGATGATCACGATCGGAGGGAATCCAACACCGAGCTTAAGATGTGAACTTGGTGCGACTCACTGTCCATCGCAGCTCGGGCAGGAGCGTACACATGAAGTATTTATTCTTTGAGAAGAAGGGGGACTTCACAATGCAGACAGCTTATCCAGTATTATCTCTTTGAATTTTGACTGAGATGGGTAGTTTTCAACTCCGAGAGCTGTCAAATCATACTGTCGATGAGAATTTACTGGACTCATCATGTTTGAGGTCAAACAAAATATTTTTTGGCACATCCACCAAAATCCTCAACCGGGATTATATGTAGACTACTAGTAGCAAAATGTCCCAAACTTGGATCTCACAAATTATTGTTAACTGCCTTAGGTATGTGCATAGGTTTTTGTTGAGAGGATGGCATGGGCCAAGACATCTGTTAATTGAAGAATCTTTGCCCGATAACACAAACCAATGTATGGAGAAATTATATTTGTATGTTAAGACTTCCTTACCAATACATACTATTTTATGTGCGGGAGCTTTTGTTTTTTGTTCTAGTTCCAGTGATTCTCTCTCTCTCTCTCTCTTCAAGCACTAAACAAAAGGAGACACAAACCACTCTACTACTACTACTACTACTACAAGTGCAAGTGCACATTGAGTATCCTCTCTACTGCTCTTTTAGTCTGTCTCCCACTTCTGTAATGTGGCCATAGATAGATCTCCGTTTCTCTTGCTGCCTTCTCTTTTTTGCCTCCAGGGTTCCCCCCCCCCCCACTACTTTTTCCTACTGCCACTTAAGCCAGTGTTGAAGGATCCCATTCTTAGGAGCCAACAAGTCTTGAGAATGGGAAGGGCTAGCTCCTTGATTACTTTGTTCTTCTTTCTACATGTTGCTGCTTCTGGTGTTCTTGGGGATAGCCCTTACAGGTTCTTCACTTGGAACATCACCTATGGAGACATCTGGCCCATGGGTGTCAAGCAACAGGTCAGGTCACTCTTCTCCGATTCTTTAGCTTTTGTTTTCCTTGGCCTCCTCGTAGTTTTTGATCCGGTCTCATACTGATCTCTGTCTGTGGTGGGAACCATGGCGCAGGGAATTCTGATCAACGGACAGTTCCCAGGGCCGCAGATCGAAGCTGTCACCAACGACAATGTCATCGTCAATGTGTTCAACAGCTTGCCCGAACCATTCCTCATCTCCTGGTCACTACTGCTCTCCCTAGCTTCGCTTCCTTCTTCTCCCTTTGCCGTGCCCTCCCTCCTCTGTTAGCATGGATTTCTTTTGTGTTCGTCTCCCACATTTCGTGCTGCAATCACGCCGACATCCCTAAAAGGAATTCACATCTCAACTCTTTTTGTAGTAAATTAACGGTGTCATGGGAAAAATTAAACCTAAGATTTATCGCAGTAAAAAGGCAAACGGTAGGTGGGCTTTGATGGCGCAGCGCAGGGTGGTGAGGCGGTTGGGTTACGGTCATATTTCCTTGCAAGAGTAATTTTGGTGAAATCAATTAATTGCGTTTCATGCAGCATGAGGTTTGATGTTCGATCATGATTCATTCGTTTCTTTTGGTTGGCTCTACGTTGGTCTCACTGATCTGGTTGAAAACCTCGTCGGTGGAGAAGAGAGAATGGCATCATCATCATCCATGGCTGGTAAAAATTAGTACCCGAGGAGGTGGTGATCTGTGAACGTTACAAATAGTAAAAACAGGTCATTGTAAGTTCAAGAAAGGTTTTCTGATAGGAGGAATGTGAGAGAGAGAGAGAGACAAAGAGAGCTTTTATTAGGTGGATCGAAAGCTTTAGCCTCTTCTCTTGAGAAAGATGAAATGCACGCATCATGCGTGGTCTGATGCTTCGCTCGACAGGCATTTATCCATGAACTCTTTCTTCTTCTCAGGAACGGGATACAGCAGAGGAAGAGCTCATGGCAGGATGGTGTTTACGGCACCAACTGCCCCATCCCACCCGGGAGGAACTTCACGTATGTCATGCAGTTCAAGGACCAGATCGGTAGCTACTTCTACTTCCCCTCCCTTGCATTCCACAAGGCCGCCGGTGGATTCGGTGGCATCAGAGTCCTCAGCCGGCCGTTGATCCCCGTGCCATTCCCTCCTCCTGCCGGAGATTTCACCCTGTTAATTGGCGATTGGTTCAAGGCCAACCACAGTGTAATCACTCAAACTGCAAACAGTGTTTCATTGCGGCATACTCTTGTGGTAGCAGCACTAACCATGGCATCTTTCTTGTTTGTAGACCCTTAAGTACGTATTAGACAGCGGCAGAGATCTCCCTTTCCCGGATGGGGTTCTGATCAATGGTCGCGGATGGAACGGGAACACCTTCACCGTTCAACAAGGCCGAACGTATCGGTTTCGGATATCGAATGTTGGATTGACGGCATCGTTGAACATAAGAATTCAAGGCCACGCCATGAAATTGGTGGAGGTCGAAGGTTCCCACACTCTACAGAACACCTATTCCTCGCTGGATCTTCATCTCGGCCAGTCCTGCTCGGTTCTGGTCACAGCGGATCAGCCCGCGATGGACTACTACATCGTGGCCTCCACTCGATTCACCAGCAAAGTGCTCAGCACCACGGCCATCCTTCGCTACAGCAACTCCGGCGGAACAACTGCTGGTCCGCCACCAGGAGGACCGACCATTCAGATCGACTGGTCTCTCAATCAGGCGAGATCGATTCGGTATCGTCCTTGCTCATCACCCTCACATGATTGGTTGCTACTGCAAAATTAATGTATCTGCATATATATATATATTTTTTTGATTGCGGAACGCAGTTGGAATCTGACGGCCAGCGGGCCGAGGCCGAATCCGCAAGGTTCGTACCACTACGGTCTCGTCAACACGACGAGGACGATTAGGCTCGCGAACTCTGCGCCGTTCATCAATGGCAAGCAGCGATACGCTGTCAACAGCGTCTCCTTCATCCCAGCTGATACGCCGCTGAAGGTGGCCGATTTCTACAAGATCCCTGGAGTGTTTTCGCTTGGGAGCATTTCCGACAACCCGACCTTCGGAGGCGGATACCTCCAGACGTCGGTCATGGCGGCTAATTTCCGAGACTACGTCGAGATCGTCTTCGAGAACTACGAGAACACCATGCAGTCATGGCATATCGACGGATACTCCTTCTGGATCGTCGGGTACGAGAATGTGCATCAAAAGAAGCTTTGCTCTTGCGATTCTTTTCCTCCATCTAATTAATTAATGCCAACGATTACAGAATGGATGGAGGACAATGGTCAGCAGCGAGCAGGAAAAGCTACAATCTGAGAGATGCTGTTGCTCGTTGCACTGTTCAGGTGCGTGTCTCATCTCCCACTCTCGCTCGTTTGCTTTCTCTCCACTGAATCATACAAGGCAGGAGGCAATCCATTAATTATCAAAGGCTTTTTAGGTGGTGGAAGAGGGCATGATTGGTTCACTGTCTATCTTTTCTTGTATCCTACTCCACTGCTTCCTCTAAGATCCATCAAGAGCAGTGTAAACATCTAATAACCATAACCGATAGTATGATCTGTGAATCTATCCCAGCGAGCAATAGTAACCTGACCTCCCTTGCCTGAGAAGCATAGCTAACGGCTGGCTAAATCTGTCTCACTAGAGCTTTGTTATTTGCAACAGATGACACAGTAAAGCACATCTCTCTCACGTTGCTGCTGCTGCTTTTGATTGCTTTCAGGTCTACCCCAAGTCTTGGTCTGCCATTTACATGCCTTTGGACAACGTAGGAATGTGGAACGTGAGATCAGAGAACTGGGCTCGTCAATACCTGGGCCAGCAGTTGTATCTCCGTGTGTATTCCCCTGCTAACTCATGGAGGGATGAGAACCCGATTCCGAGGAACGCCCTTCTCTGCGGCCGAGCATCCGGCCGCCGGACCAGGCCGCTGTGATCTCAGTTATTGTCATCGTCACGAGGGGGTGACCCATAGGCCTTGCTAGGAATGAGATCCAGAACAAGCTCTGTTTTCTCCATGTCGCTGATACATTTTGCAGCATTCGTGTTGCTCCGTCCAAATTGCAATCGCTGCTTACCTTTGTATAACTCCCATTTATGATTTAAAACGCTATGTTCAGCTGCTTCGGTGAAATCCAATGTGATCGTCGATAGGTGGCTCGAGATTCAATAAAAGAGAGTTATGCTACCTCTTTTTATGTGCTTGAGATTCAATAAAATTGCTGTAAATGAGCAATTTTTCCTTGATCATACCTACCCAAGAATGAAGATCCCCCTTCTAATGATAACATGGTGATTACAACCTGAGAGTTAACAGAGTACAGTGAAAGAAAAGAACCGTAGAAACATCACTTGCTCTCCGACATAGCCAGCCACTTGATACAAGTTCATACACAGTATGAGAGTCCAGAGCATTTAGTTACAGGTCTCGAAACCCAGTTCCCCGGAAACCCATACAACAGCTTCAAGTAACCTCACTACGAACGCTGATGCTCGTAAGGTCTTCAACATATTCTTGGCAAGTTGTTCCACGGCCATGAACTGATACTCCGGTCATACTCTGCGGGGGCGTCGGAGAGGGATGAAGCCAACCGTTGTATGTCCGTTCCGTCGCTCACCGTCGCTGCCGACTGCCCATTGGAGATCTCTGCGGCGTCGATATTGCACCAGCCAGGGATTTTTGACACCATGGGCTCCGGGATGTTAAGGAGTCCGGGTGTATCGTCTTCCACCGGAATGGCATCGCCCGGAAGTTCACTCTTTATCTTGTTTCCTGCTAAAAGGGCTAGTGATTAGTAACATAAAGATTTTGAGTTTGAACAGCCTAATAGGTAATAAGCAGACCAAAGAGAAGAGCAGAAATTACAGAGAAAATGCAAAGTAAAATTCGAATCCTGTTTTAGCTTTTTGAAATCAGCGTTCGAGATGGAGGAAGAGTAGATATAAAATGAAGAACAAAAATCAGGCAAGCATGGTGAGATATGCTTTGATTGGCGAAAACAAATACAGATTGCATGAGGAAGACTTCATAAATGAGGTTAGAAGAAAAAGGCATCACGACGAGAGACAAGTCGAAGCATTACTCTTCGAGTTTCATTTTTCTTGCACTGCGATTACCACGACATGCATAGATCGTGTTGATTAAACCAAGTGAGGAGATATGATGAAAACATTAGAACTTAGACGGCTTCCGTCTCCATCAACTATTTTCTTTCACTGCCGGCAACCACATGCAACAGAAACAGGGAGATTACTTCGATGGAACTCACCCATGTCACAGTGCAAACCCTCCAGTTTAGTGGCTGATCCCAGAAAGTAGCCTTGAGAAGTCTCCTCGACCACTTGGCCTTCGCCGTCGCCAAAGATTTGTTCCCATAACGCGCCTTGCTCATCGATAGTCGGCAGCGCCAAGAGCTCCCCTATGTTTATATCCTGGGTGACACGCTCGTCCTGCAGCAACGCCTCCAGAAGCTCGCGGCCGGTGGGGTCGTCGCCGCCTCCGACGAGATCCGGGAACAGTTGGCATGAAGGGAGCTCCATTTTCCCCTGAGGCGGCCATGGCAGGGGCGACAGCAGCTGTGGCGGAGTCGCTTGGGAATGCCCCAGCCTAAGTTGTTGCTTCGGAAACAGAGAAGTCGGATTAGGCGGCGGCGAGGGCGGGAATTTAAAGCCGAGGTGACCAGCGAACTCATTCCGCCGGAGAGGGGACAGAGTGATCCCTGACGGAGGACGAAAACTGTCGTGATTCAGCAATGGAACTGGCCAAAGAGAGGGGAGCTGAGCTTTGTGTTCTGCTGCAAACGACGGAGAAGGCAGCGGCGGCGGCGTCCAGAGCGACGTCGGAGCCTCATGCTTCAGCTGGTAGTGGTCGAATCCGACGCCGTCTTGTAGCTCCGGCGGGTAGATGGGCAGGCCGGCTCGCTGCCGGCGCTTGAGACGGGTGTTCCAGTAGTTCTTGATCTCGTTGTCGGTCCTCCCGGGGAGCTGACGGGATGGAAGAAAAGAAAGAGAGTGAGAGAGACAGAGAGAGAAAGAGATCAAGTTCATGCAGGTGAAGGACAGAGAGGAGAACAGAGAGGAAGGGCGTAGTATCGGAAGAGCAGTACGTGGGCAGCCATGCGCGCCCATTTGTTGCCGAGCTGGGAGTGGAGGCGGAGGATGAGGAGCTCCTCTTCGGGGGAGAAGGAGCCCTTCTTGAGGTTAGGGCGGAGATGGTTGGCCCAGCGGAGTCGGCAGCTCTTGCCGCAGCGAGCCAGGCCGCTGTGCCGCTGCACCGAGTTCCAGTTCCCCTCCCCGTGCCGCCGCACGTGCTCCATCAGGATAGCGTCCTCCGCGGGCGTCCACGGCCCTTTCTTCAGCGCTCCTCTTCCTCCTGCTCCCCCCGCCTTCTTCCCTCCTCCATCTCCTTCTTCGCCCTTCATGGCTTCGTATTCCCCCGCTTAATTCTCTCTGTACTCTGTCAACCTCGGCCTTGTACTCGTTTACATACGGAAAATCAAATATAATAAACTAAGCTAAAAAAGCGAAAGGAGAAGCAAAGCTTTGTATGGATGGGAACTGTAGGATCTCTTTGCAGGCCAAGAATTGCAACTCGTGGGCAAAAAGAAATCTCCTCGTGGAGCTTCTCGATCAATGTGGTGGTTCGCACAATCGAAATATATGGCCTGCTGATCTCCGATCCTTGTCGCGGGTCGGCGATCAGAGAGGTCAGGGTGGTGGCGCGCGGGGTGAGATGGAACGCGTCGAGGAGGTGGCGAGATTAAAAGGAGAAAGAATTGGGAAAAGGAAATAGGGAGGAGGTGGGGGGGGGACTGGGGAGGGTGGTGGTGGGGCCCAGGGGAGCGAGAGTGTGTGGGCCCTCAGTCGATACGATTGTGCAGGGGTTAGGGGGTAAGAGACTTGCAAGTGCCAAAAAAAGCAAAAAAGGGATAGATTTTTATGGCCAATGGAAAAAGACTGGAGTTGTGGCATTAACATATTAGTTTAATTAGGGGATTAATAAGGAGGGAAAGGTTGGGCAAGGAGATCGGTGTGCGTACGCCCGGGTGGCCTCACACGTGGTGCTCCGCCTCCGCCTCCGCCGCCGCCTCGCCGCTGCCAGATGACACGCCTTCCTTTGCATCCTCCCTTTCCCCTCTTCGAGGACACCGCCACCGTTCTGTCTCTCTCTGTCCGTCTCTTAGAGATCATACATACTACGAGGATACTATCGACGATCGGCATCGACCGTAAGCTTCGGAAGGAGCTGCTGCCACTCTTCTTCTTCTTCTTCTTCTCCTCCTCGATCGATTCCTTTCATTTCATGATGAAGCGTCCCGATACGCTGACAGATGATGTTGGAACTCCCTACATTATCGCAATGTCTCTAAAAATTTCCTCGTACGACGTGATCGATGTTGTCCACCGTAACCATCATTAGAGAGAGCCACTTCTCTTCTCTAACATTGGACACGCTTCGTGAGCATTCCTCCGTATTTAGAATATGTCGAGGCATTACGTGGAAGAACATAGAATTGCATGGGCGATTATTTGCGACTTTGGAGGCGCTTCCATGGAACTTTATGCTTTCTTCCGAGAACATACGGCTCCCTCACCGACTTCCGCCGCCGCCGCCGCCCTCCGGTTCTTAAGCTTAATCTTGTTGATATATGGTGATGTGTCCCCTTTTCAATATAAAAATCTCTATTTTTGATAATTAATTATCATAAAATTTTTATAATAATAATAATAATAATAATAATAATAATAATAATAATAATAATAATAATACAAGGCATTTATAACATAGTGATTATACAATGGTCATTATTTCATTAAATGGTCACGATAGAACTCGTCACACTGTTTTGGTAAGCCACGTACGTAACCAACACGAAACCCAGCGTGGCCTCCGAGCCGAGACTCGAGCACTACTGGTCTTCGGAGCACTTCCGTCCCTCGTCAAGACGCAATTTTTATTGCGCTCTTGTTTCTTCCCTCTGCTCCCCTCCCCACCCACCTCTCTTGATAACTACGGTCCGCCGTCGAGAAAAAGGTCCCGCTTTTTTTTCTTCATCCTATTGGATCGATAATGCGCTGTTCTGGGCTCCGAGGTTTCCAAGTTGAAGGAGCCGGACATGGCTTCCACGTCCCTGGGGCCGGCGTCGGCTGGTCATGCCGGCTCCCGCCGCCGCCACATGTGCCGTCGAGAGCTCTTCCGGCTGTGGCCGCTCCGGATTGGAGGCGGGAAGGGGTGAGGGGTGGGAGATTGGGTTCTGTCGTTGTCCGTGTGAAGCCCGTGGAAGATGAGAACTCGTCGCCGGCGGCGCCTTTGCAGTTGTCGGCGGACCGGGCGGTGGAGGAATCGAGGAAGTCGGGTCGGAATTCGAGCTCGCTTCCTGGTAGGTTCTTCATTCTTTGTTCAGCTGGAAAAATGACCCTTTTCCTTGTGTATCTGCTCCGTTACGGTGTTATACTTCTTTCTTTGTGTTGGTTTCCGCAATCACTGTTTTGCTTTAGTCATGAATTATAAGTCGTTGTGCTTACTAATTAATTTTTCATTGGCTAGTTTAATATGATCAAAGGTTACCATTTTTGGTGAGCCATGTAATTTTTCTGAAGCAGAATATTAATGAACTGATTAGATAGATACTTATAAGAACTTGGATTGATCTCTTGTACCGATACAAAGTTTTGATTTTATATCGCACCGTTGTCTTTCCCTGTATCTGAAAGAATTAGGGGAAAAAAGCACAACCTTTGATGCATGAATTCAGCTGTCAGTAAATTCAGATTAGTCATTTTGCAATATTCTACCACTGTAATACATGAACTTGATTTCTTTTGTTTTTCTCTTGAATCGACTTGTGGAGGATAGGTAGGGCTATGGGTTTTGTTTTTTATAGTCTTAGAATATCTCTAGGAAACAGTTTTCGTGCAGTAACTGGTTAACACAGAATGAAACGCTTTTATCTCTAATTTGTCGAACAAAGATGAGAGATTTTATTCTTTATATTGTCTTTCTTTGTCATAAGATCTCCATTCGTCCACATAAAAAATTGTGGAGGAGTAAACATAGTGCCACTTCTATTTGACCTTTTGGCATTAATGAGCAAGTTAGTAAGAGGTAGGGGAATCAGTTCATGGCCATATGAGATGGTCTTTTGCTCTTAACAAAGGAATTAATGATCCTACAAACACTTAATATGGATTCTGCAAGTGCTGTATATGTTTCCTTGAAGTATATATAATGACTAGATTTATAAGTAGAATACGTGCCTTCCCTAACTAGAAAAAGTCTCATAAGTGCTATTTTTCTTGGAAATCTCACATTCTGAAGAGAGTCAACAAGATTAGTAACCAGGATCTAGTTTCATGGTGACCTGAGCATTGGGTGGGCATGAGATGATGAGAATGTCTTTGATCTTGGATTAGCTAGCTGTTATTCAAATGAAATTCTTGCACCACTACCTGCAACTACATGCACAGAGAAGGAAAGAGGAAAAGAAAACATTGCATGACGGATGTTTGGTCTCTTAAGAGGAAAAAGCTATATGAAGGCATGACGGGCGACGTAGGTTAAATTTCCAAGCAATCTCTGCGTGCCAGTAAAGGTGCCACACAAGACAGAATTTTAAGTGGAGTTCGACGGAGATGAAAATGCCACAATTAGCTCGCTTTTGTGACAATGTCATATCACCCATGAGTGCAAAGAGATTGTTTTGGTGACTTGAACCCCTGACATTTAGATTGGAGCAACCTCACCATGGTGCCAGAGCTCACCCTCTAACCTGGATAAAATGTCGTATGAGCTTTAATATGGTCTAAATTTATGGCAGTGTATTCTTGGTAGTAAACGATAGCTTTTCAATATGCAGAACCATTGTCATTAACTGATCTCTCTGTTTCTGAGCATGGATCTAAAGTACGTGTAGGATATCAGGTATACCCCTTTGGATATACAATTATATTCTGTTTTCATTCTGAGGATTACGGCTGCTATGATCATGCACAAAATTTATTTCTTTTTGTTTTTCTGAATAGGGTTCACCTGATGTCTTCAGTGAGGACTCTGTCCTGAAAGCATACCCACAGGGTGAAGCTGTTCCATGTGAACAGTTTGAGGTTGCATTCAAGGTCGATGAGATATCATCTTAGTTGAGCCAAATCAGCCTAAACACCAAAGCATATGATTTTTGAGCATTTACAGGCAGTTGTACTTTCATTAGTTGATAAAGCAGTTCTGCCAATTGAGAATTCAATGGACGGAAGCTATCATCAGAATTATGACTTGCTTCTCTGCCATAATTTGCGCCTTGTGGGTGAGGTGCAGTTGTCCATTAACCACCGTCTTGTAGCTCTGCCAGGCGTGCACAAGCAGCAGTTGAGGCGTGTTTTAAGCCACCCACAGGTCGATTCACATTTCTGTATCCATCTCATTATGGACATTTTATTCTTTTGATTTTTTATCAGTAAGTTCACCTTCAGGCACTTGGCCAATGTGAGATTGCATCGAGCACGTTGGATGTTGTTCGAGAAAGTGTCGATGACTCCGCTGGTGCCACTCAGGTAGCTCATAAAATTTGCATATCTTCCTTGCAAGCCTTGAAAGTCGATCTTTGACCTTTCGGAGCCTTTTCCACAGTTGATAGGGTTTAAGGGATGCAGGAGCAATTGCAAGTGCCCGGGCTGCAGATATCTATGGGCATAATGTGCTCGAGGAAACTATGCAGGCAATGAATTTTCTCCTATCACTGTTGGTGTGGTATATCTTGTTTTCATGTGAAGGATGATTTTCTCTAAATTGCAATGCGGTTGTAGTCAGAATAGATTTTTTAATATCTTAATTATATCATTATCACATGAATTCTTTTTTATCCTTGTGTTTGATTGTGAGATTGGGAACATAATGATTTTTTTTTTTTTCCCATTTTGAGTTCCATTGTCACTGGAACTGCATGCCCTTAGTAAATCCATCAGATACCATTATTAAATGCATTAACAGTATCTGTTATGTTATTTGCCCTGCTTGATTTGTTTAATGTCTTTTCTATCAAACAACTGCTCCAGTTAGTAATGGCTTCCATTTTTGACAGGATTCTCATGAGTCAGAAAACATGGTGGCTAATCAAATTATAAATAGTTCTGCACTGAGACATTGTTTACATTTTCAACCAACTGTACCGAGACATTGTTTACATTGATTAAAATGTGCAATGAATGTTTTTAGTAAAAATTACTGCCATATTGTTGAAAACTAGAACATATTTATTCTAATATTTGATGAAATATTTTCTGTAGTTTGCCAAAATACATAACTAAGATATCGTGGTAACTGACTGAATAGGAAGGAATCTCATAGCTTAATTTGGTTCATCTGACAAGGTTATATTCCTTGGTAAGGCCTTCAGGTATATTGAATGGTGTACAAATTTTGAGGAAGATGGTGTGCGCATTCATATCAAGGCACACTACTTGTCCAACATATTTCTGTTTTTGACATGCATTGTATGTTCCAGCTTTTGTCGTTGTATCTTTGTAGTTTTTCTACTTTGGTGGAAGTTTAGAATTTTACTTCTTTTTTCTACCTCTTTTCAATACTATGTATTCAGATGTTATCATCTATTAATGACAGGATGTCCCCAAAAATGTTTTGAGATTTCTTGTCCTTGCTCGGGAACCTATAATTCCAAGGATCGAAAGAGCCTTTAAGGTATTAAACTGACATGCTACTTTTATTTGGACTCAGTTCTATCAAGAAATGTAAAGGGATTATTGTCACTAATTGTTTCAGACTAGCATAGTATTCACTCTTGAAGAAGGTCCTTGGAGTATTATTCAAAGCACTGGGACTTCTTTCTCTGGGGAAGATAAAATTCACAAAGGTATCTAAATAAAGTTTTTTAGTGTTCAGCCTTTAGCTTAGCAACCATATCATTTCATCAAAATAATACATATTTTTTTTGTTGATGTACTGTAGATCGAGAGCAGGCCCCAAAGGAGTCGCCCTCTTAGGGTTGTTGATGACTCATACGACGCATTGCTATTCCTTCGACTATGATCATAGAGAGAGAGAGAGAGAGAGGTTATTAGAACATCTCGGGGCTTACGTACGTATTTTAGCTTTACATTCGTCAGTGTCAACCAAAACCAAAATGTTTGTGTTCTTCGGATAGAGAGTGGAAGTGCAATAATAACTCGTTGAAGAAGGACTTCCAAACTTTGATACGTTACTTGCTCTGTTCATCGTGCTCATGTTGAGTCATTATTTTTCAACTATAAACTTTGATACGTTGCTTACTCTCTATCCACTTCGGATAGAGAGAGGCAACCCGCTGTGCATCACCAAACCAAGAAAAATTTCACTTCAAATGCATTATTAGCACTCAGAAACTGTTCAGAGAGAGAGAGAGAGAGAGAGAGAGAGAGAGAGACTCTGTTGTGCTGCTATTATTCATCAGACTGATTTGAAGATCTCTATCTAATAATTAATTATCTGATCCGCTAACTGGATTGCCTATTTAAAACTTATCATGAATGGGAATCAGTTACATCTGTTTTGTTTTTGTGTTTGCATGTAAATCCTCCACGGCTAAATGTACCAGAAAAAATATTCATTTCATATATATACACAAAAAGAAAGAAAATTCTCGGATCAAGAACAGTTCATTCTTTGGAATACATATTTTCTTTTACAGCTAAAATGACGACTAGATCCTCCGGACAACTTGCTCCAACCCATACGTCACAAGATGCTCAATCAAATCTAAGAGTTTTAGGTGGAGACAGCTTAAAGGTGGCAACTAAAATAACAGAGGCCATGGAAGTCTCACAGCAACCAAAAGCAGAGAGGACGCAAGAGATAAGGACGAAGACACCCCATGTGGTGCCTCTCTCCCCTCCCACGCACGTGGAGGCGCAGGTCCTCTCTCTCTCTCTCTCTCTGTCTCTCTCTCTCTCTACTACACACTACAC